AATGTTGTATATAGTAAATAATTGTTTTTGACATAAAATTTTTAAATATCTATCAAATATAGTTTTCATTGAATGGGTCATAATTTATTCATTTAATAATAATGTACTGTGGAGGTCTTATTCATATTTTATTTTATAATCTTTATGAGTTATATTACAATTTTCAAAACGATCTGTTGAATAGAATTGTGCGCTTTGATCTTCAAATTGCATTAAAATATAAAAAATTTTCAAATACTTAAAATAATTAATTTTTAAATTATAAAATTTAAATATTGCTATATGATCATTTTGTAAGTAAAATAAGGAGATAAAATGAATGTTATAATAGACCATATGTTTATTAATATCTGTAGGTATATTATTTAGGCATATATACATAAATACTTATTAATAAATATTAGTTTTTTCAATATGTTTTTATTTAATATGGAGTTATGTTTATTATCATTTAGGTAAATTAAAAAATGTTGTTTCAATAAATAAGTAATATTAATGTTATTTACGTTTCTTTTCTAAATAAAGTCTTAAAAACTATTACAGAATTTACTCGTATGGAATTAGTATAAAAGAAATGAATTTATAATTTTAATACATATTTTGTCTAAACAAAATAAACTATTTTTACGTTTTAAAAGTAATCCAAGATTAAAACATTATTATTAAATTGTATATTAACTTTTTTGCGATTATATTAATCGATAAAATCGTTTTTATCCCAATATTATCATTTTCGTACATTTGATGTTGAAAAAAAGCTTCATTTTAAGCTTCAATTATTTAAGATAATTTTTAGTTGTTTTAATTTATTTTGAATTGAATTATATGTTTCAATTATGAAATATTATTTTTATTTTTTTCAGATATAATTGAATTGAGTTATTAAAATAAAACTAATTTTTGTATATTTTATTCAATAAAAGTATATACCAAATTATACTATAATCATATATTAATTGAATATTATACGAAAATAATTTGCATATAATTATATGATTGAATGAAATTTTTAAAAACTCGATTCCATCTAATTTTAAAACATAACATAATATTGTAACAGTAATAAAAAACAAATATTTAGTTAAACACTAATAAAAATATGCAAATGCTCATCAGCATAATAAAATATATTTTAGAATAATATGACGATAAATAAAGAAATGAAGCATTTATGATTACTTGAAAAAATATAATAAGTTTTTAAATCATACAAATTCCATATATGCCATTTTATAAAAGCAGCTGGTATTTGATTATAACTTGTAGTATGTTATAAACAATGATTATATAACTATATTGCTTATTAACTACATTGTTATAACAGTTCTTTTATATATAAAATAAATAAAATAATTTCTACTTATTGATCAATCTAAGAAACAATATTTTGAAAACTAAGGAGTATGACCGTAGCTCGTGTAAATATTGATATCAATTTTTATTATTACTTAATTTGAAACATATCACATTTAAGAAAAAGCACGCGTTGGATTACACTTGCATGTACCAACTCCGATTTCGCTTATGAAAGCAGATAAAAGTTTGAATTAAGAAGCTGCATTGGAAAAAGTTAAGTGTTTTGTCAATTACTAAATTATTCGCTTACTGATCCGCCGAAATTCCTTTTTTGCGGGATTTATAAATCTCACTTAACCTTGCAAACTAATCAATTCTAATTATTAAATTATTTATTTACAAGGCTGTTAAAATAATATTTTCCTTTTTTTGTTTTTTTTGTTTTTTGTTTTTATTTGAAACTATCATTTTTTTATAATTTTGTGTTTCGATATTTATAATTTTGAATTGAATCACTTTACAAAACATATCGGCTTTGGGCAATAGAAGTACCGGAGGCAAATGTGGAAAAATAAAGGCATAATTGGATGACGATCCTGCTTGAAGTATAGAATGAAGTATTCACTGTACTACAACACAGCATTAATTCATAGCGCACACTGTAAAATTTAGTAAATGAGGTGTAGAAATATATACAAGCAAGATTACACACGGGAGTAAAAATCTCCAGTTATGAAAACGGTAATAAATGGCAGGAAACAAATCAAAGTGAATTTTATCAAGAAGTATTAAAATAATCACTCAATGCTTTACGGCTAATATTTACGATTCGAGCAAGCCTCCTTTAAAACTTCACAGGTCTGCGCGGCCTATAACATCCTCTTAAGTTGCCATGCCCTGTCCTACCGATCTCTTCAGCCCTGTTATCGCTTCCTTTCTCGCCTCTCTTCCTCTCTTCGCCTGCCCGGCTCATTTACTTTGCGACCTCGTCATCGCGAACCCTTCTTCCAAGTGCTCTAATGCAACAAGGGACTCCTTCCTCCAAACTCACTGAAATTGTTGCCGAGTTCGTCCTCCTCGTTCAAATCGCCGGGTAGCTTCGCCACATCCACCGGGTTACCCTGTAGCAGCAGAAATACGAGGATGAGCCAAGGCGAGGGCAACGGCATCGCTCCGCGCTGCGTTCTCGTACTCCGGGTCATCGCGGCTCGTCACTCTGTGCGCACGTCGTCGTGGCCAAGTCGTATCGTGGCCCAAGCGCACGCTCCCTGAGGTAGCGGGAGAAGGAGGCGATAATGATGACGACGGATACTCGTTAGGACGACCGCTAGGACGAATTCATAATCTTCTCGTGTTTTCGGCTCAAATTTTTCCTCGTGTTTTCGGCTCAAATTTTTCCTCGTGTTTTATTTACGTTGCCTGAAATGTGTTGCGAATTAATCCGGATCTCTGCTCGTCTTGTAGCCAGCTATCTTTTTTAATCTATTAATCAAGAACTTGGCAAGGAATTTGGGTCTTATAGTGGCCAGTAGAAAAAACCGAGTCTCAGTAGTTGAAACGTGTGTTTAACAAATAATTTAATATTATAACATTTCAAATTTTTTAACGTGCCTTTGTTTCCACTCTAGTTTACGGATTGTTTCGGAAAATATGGGTCGAGTTTGATTCATCATAAACTTAATGAGGATTATGCTAAGTGAACGTTAATGCAACTCTCATTATCTCTATACTCCTTGAATTGGAGGAGTCTCGCCACTAAGACCTAAATAAGCCGTCTTCTTGGAAAAATCCAAAAAGATCTCGTTTGATCCGCTACATGTGACACGATCCGTTTAACATTTCAATTCCTCATTGCGGTGCATCACTTTAAAATAATTACGTTCTTATGGATGAATAACAGATATGTAGAATTAACCAATAATTAGCTTGATGACTACAAATGAAATTCTCGGTCTATATAGAGTTAAAAGAGCCTTCGAACAATTTAAAATAGAACAATGTAATAATAAATATTCATTTTCAATAGAGCTTTATAAATGTAACATTTGGTGGCTACAAAAAGCTTCGGCACGACGATTTTAAATACTAATATCTTGTTTAAACAATTTTGTCCAGACGCAAATTTAGCGAACTTTTGCGAGTATGCATAGGAAAGAGAGTTTAATTGAAGACGCAGCATCCCCAGAATTCCCAAAATTTAAAGCGCATGTACATGATTGCGCAACTAGCGCGCCTCATTACTTGTTACGTAGCGTAGCAATTGGGCTGTGCTGCACACGCGCGCGTATCATATATATGCGTATAAAATCACGCGGAAATTGATCTTCACTACGGCCCTAGCGACCTCTTCATGACCCTAGTCCACCTGTCGATGTGAGATATCTTTTAAACGCGAAGCTGATGTTTCTGACATCTCTAACTATCTGATATTTTATGCAAACATCTTTTTTTAATTGTATTGAAGACTCAGCTGATGCACATAAATTATCAGACAGAATTTAGAAATTTTATAAACAGCAATTTTTTTGGACTATTTAGATGATGAAACTGTTTACTGAAATATTCGCGAAAGAAGATATATTAACGATAAACGGTAATTACAGCTTTACTTGTTCGTTAAATTTCACTGATAGTAATGTAATATTTATGAAATTTATAAAATACATCCTCCACAGATTTATGTCATTTTTGTTTATATTATACATTACATACCAATATATATTTAAATTAACAAAAACTATGTTTTATGTTTATGAAAATTAAACTTGATTCTAAAATTCACTGTTTGTCGATATTTAGTCTTGGTATTTTTACAAAACACTTAATAGAATTCAATAAGTTTTCCTTTTTATATTATAATTTACAATTTATACACACACACACATATATACATATACATTGTAATTAAACTATTGTCTTCATATAATAATCTTTTGTTTAATGAAATAGTAATGGAATATATAATGCTTTAAACCATCAATCACATTTAATCGCTTGTATATATCTTTCTAACTGTAATAAATATTTACTTAGACTAATGTGTACATGTGAGATATTGCATGGATATAAATCTGTGTACTTTTAATTTTCAGGATATTTTAATTACAGAATTACCTTTTAATATCTAAAATGAATTATTTTCAGATTACAATTTTTAATTAATACGAGTTAAGTTAATATTGTTGTACAGACATTTTTTATTAGAGGTAATATGATTTCTTTCGGAGTCTATTAATAGAAAGAATTATAATTTTTATTTCAATCTAATTCCAAGAAATATAATTTTAATGAATTATTTTAAAATAAAAGTTAAATTTTATTATAATGTTCATAAGGCAATACGAAATACTATAATTTACGTGCTTCAAATTCAATTTGAATTTCTGATAATTTAATTAAAAAATTTTTATAAATTAAATCCAGTTGATTTATTTTCATTTTTTAGTATTATACATTTCCATTATTTATTATAAAAGATTATTTTTATCCTCCAATCTTATCAACTATAAAAATAGTGATAATTATGTTATAATATATGTTTTTATTTAATAATCGATGTATATTTCTGCTATTACATTGTTGATTTTAAATTATTATTTATTTTATATAATTTTTAGGACTTTTTAAATAATATTAGAGATTATTACTTCCTTAAAATCAATTTAAACATATTGCTATATTTTTTAAATCATTTTCGAAATTTCATATTTTTCCTTTCTTATAGCCTTAAATTGTGTATAATTCGGTTGTCAGCAGCAATTTATATAATAAATATTTTAATATTTTTGCCTTTATTCAAATATGTATATATCTATTAAACTGTATATAATAATTTTCACACTAATGAATTTGAATGCGATTTTGGCAGTGTTTTATTTGACTTTTGATTAATATATTCTTGTGTACAACCACTTAAACGAATACAAAATTTATCACAGTATTATAAAACATTTTCTTGGAAATACCATCTCTACTTGGACGATTGGCTTTTTGAAGTAAAACAGTTTTATAAAGTATATAATGCAACGATTATCCACTACTTGCAATTGTTTGATACGAATATAAATGATTGCATGAAAATGAAGTCTGCGCACGTTTTTTATCTTTAATTCATGTAGTTTGCTTTATTTTTGTTGTACATAAAATTGAAGACATTCTATTTCTTTCTTGTATTTGTATTGGCGTATCATACAGAACATAATAAGAAAGGATTGTTTAATTAAAAACTGAATATTAATTTGATTAAATACATTCTTCAACAAATATATTATCATTAAAGTTACTCTTTTTGATTATTTTATGATACAAATAAATAAAACACGTTCAAGAAATGAATTCCTTAAAAGACCTAAATATTATTTGGAACTAGCTTAAGCAATTTTTACAAATCAAAGTTACGAAGTGATGATTTCGAATAACTATTGTGTGTGTTAAGTTTCATTTTATCAATTGCTTCTATGAGTAAAATGTATAATGAAATCTTCTATGGTCCTATTATATGACGACTATTATTTAAATTTCTTATTATAAATAATTTAAAATATAGAATTGAAGTATATAATAATTATTTATTATAATATATAATTATTTTAAGAATAATTACATAAAATTACAGATAGAACTCAATGACAGATAAAAGAAATTCTGTGAACAATGAAATAAAACAACTCTTTAGCTTTTCCTCAACGGCATTTATTACTCTGTGTTATTGTTTATTATTGTATTAAATTGAAATCAGAGTCAATAAGATTCCAAATAATTGTTTATATTTGTGAAGATATCATCAAATGTTATATATTATTATATTAACTATTTAATTTTTCTCTTTAAAATATTTAAATACATGATAATATGAATGTCAAAATACGGTCCTTTTTCGAATTGAATATTTGTAAATATTAATTTATCCAGCGCAACTGGTGATGTGAAAATAATTATTATATTTTTTATATTATAAGAATTAGAATACTATAATTTGAAAATCGATATACTAATTTAAAAAACTTTTTAGATATTTATTGATTACAATATAAAAAATTAATTTTTAAGATTTTATTTGAAATTAATTTTTATTTGATAATTATTTTATTTGATAATTTGAATTACACAGTTATAAGTGAATTTTAATTTTTATTTGGACTATTAATATCAATTTCAATTAATATGTCAAAATTCTGTACTTTGTGTCAACTTGATTATAATATAATAAATATGAAGTAGTAACAATATTTAATATAATTGTTCTATATACTTTATATCAGAAAGACATTTAAAGTGTCTGCCTTAAATACTACTACGTAGAACACGAACTAATAATAACTGGAAAGATTTAATTTCTTAATTATTGTTAACAATAAAATTCATGTAATTCAATACTTTAAACTCAAATCAAGTTTATATATTAATGTAAGAATAATTTAATTTCACTTTAAATTTTATAATATTGAAATATTTTTCATTAATATATAAATTTGATTTCCAATAATATTTTTTTTTAATGAGATCTTCATTAACTTTAAAATATCTGTGTTTAAAATCTAATTAGAAAATTTCTAATATATATATTAAAAATTATTTCTATATTTAAATTTAAGAAATATTTGTATTAACCCATATATATTAGAAATTTTCTGATAAATGTTTAAGTACAGAAGCTTTAAAGTTAATAAAGTTCTGATTAAAAAAAATTAATATATATATATATATATATATATATATATATATATATATATATAATATTCTTTTAGATTATTCGATTTGATAAAAGTTGTAGCATTGTATTTTTATTGTCAACAATCGTTCAATAATAGACCAGTCGGCTAATCACAATTAAACCATTAGCCCTATTGTGTTCTTCTACATGCTTTCAAACCGCATATAATGTTTAAAATATGCAATTCATTAAGAATTAAACGTATTATTATGTTTGTAAAAATTTAATTAACAATTTGAATAATTGATTTGTCAGATTAGTTTTTAATTTATTATAAAATACTTCGAAACGATAGTTTTATAGCAATTTCATATTTGATTTCTAAGTGTTAGATTAAGATTTTATTTTTGTATTTACCCTAAAATATTATATTAATTTTATATTATATTATATCTATTCTTTACATATTAATTTTTACCATTTATATTTATTAACCATTATAATAATTTTTGCCATAAAAATTATAAATACTTAATTTTTGTTTAAGGTAACAATACTGTTTATAAATATATACATTTTTATTTGATTTGATTAAAGCGTTTTTAGTACAAATTTTATTTTGAATTATTGAAGTAATTGAACTAAATACGGAAATTAAAAATAGTGGCTAAGAAGATGCAAAAAACATTGACTAGTTTATCTCTTTATATAAATTATTTTGCTATAAATTCAAGGATGTGTGTTTAATAGATATTCATTTTATATTAATATTATTTATTGCATGAAAGTAGAAGCATATATAATTTAGAACTTGATATTAACTTGAATTATACTGTGCGGATAGCAATTTGTAATTTACATAATAGAAAGAATTGTATAATACGAATTTACATTTTGAAACGAAAAATAAAAAAAAATTAAAATCTAATTATTTAATTATTAAATTTTTTAAAAAGTCTTCTAAATTATTGATCCAAATTATAAAAACAATGAATACAAATATATTAAAAACCTTTTTAAATATTTTTTAAAAAGTCGTACCCGTGGTACAAAAAATATAAAATAATGTTAATACGTAATTTTAAATAAGAAAGTAAATAAGAGAATAATAGAGAAAGATACTGTTCTTGTATAAAAGTAAACGTTTTAATAGTTCAATTAATTCTTCAGTCAATATCAAGAATTGATTATTAATATAAAACATTAAATAAAATTTTTCATTAGTATAATCCTTAATTAGTAATTGCCCATTTCCGTATAACCGTTCTCGTAATCTATCTGTCCTCAGGAGCTGTGTACGGGTTACGTATAATGTATTTCAGTGCAATTCAAAATAAATATATTTTCCGAACGAATCCGTACACTGCTTAGCATGTGCAGATATAAAAGCCTGACACGATCATTTGCACAAGGCATCATATACAAATCTATCCTTAATTTGAATAATATTAAATAAATTTTTGTAAAAAGAGACGAGAATTAATGCTTTTCATTTGCTAAAATTACATGGCTCGTTGGTCTAGGGGTATGATTCTCGCTTCGGGTGCGAGAGGTCCCGGGTTCAAATCCCGGACGAGCCCGCCTTAATTTTTTTTCATGGTTTACTTCTAATGTCACTAAACAGCAGATTTATTGTGCTGCAGCAGCACGCATTTCTTTCATAGACAGCGAGCGGACGACACACGGTAAGTTCATTGAGGCTCCGATAAACTTGGTGAGAACGTGTGTGGCGCCACGTCTCTCTGCCCTAAGCGCGCGCATGCATGATGATATATAATAGAAATGTTTAAAGCTTGCTGCGTGCGTGTATTTTGTTCTTCACTTATGTATAGAAAGATATAAATGTATAGGTGGGGGTGGGTTTCTTCCTTCACTTCCTTTACAATTTCATGCCGTAATGAAAAGAAGAGGGTTGCGTTTTGAGTAGCACACGTTAGTTAGTTACTACTACTACTTACTGTGCATGGCGAGCGAATGGCGCAGCACGGCGAGAGGAGTAGTTTATGTCATGATACTGTACCGAAATTTTGTTATATGGTGCTTTAAATGATCATTCATCATCATATTATATTATACACACAACAACACAACACACGTTCTTTAGTTTAAAAATGCCAATTGAATTTTATATATATTTGCCAAAATAAATCCTGCTATGTGTATACATATGCGTGTGTGTGTGTGTATACATTATATATAGTATTAATATAAATTGATTATGAAAATTGCTGCAAACGTTTTCTCGATTAATTTGGGAGACAATAAAGAAACCTATTTTATTGATGTGCTACGTTTGACATCGTGGCCTTGATGACAACGAGCTTTTTCTAAATTTGAAATTGTGTAACGTTGCTTTTGTAGTAACTGAAAGTAAACATGGCAAATAACACTTGGGATCTATCGAAGAAACACAGTGACAGAGAGAGGTGGTGATATTATTATAGTTTTTCTTTATGTATAGTTTTTTTTATAAATTATTTGCAAAGTTTTATTCCAATATATGGTTTGAGTTTTTATGCGTTATATTTGATTATGGCCATCTGGAAATTGATGGTTTTGACTTTAATTAACCTAACCTACAAATTTGATAAAATGCACAATAAATATCAACATATTGTTTTGATTAAACTGATTTTTTAATGAAAAATTTATTGTAAAACTATTTTTAAATAATAATAATCACAAAGATTTATAATATATTATTCACTAAATAATTAATTTTCTCTTGTATGATTATTGTCTTACAAAACTGTGTAGTTGATTTAATATATTTTTACAATCATATATTAAATAAATACAAATTTTATAATTACCTATTAAATCAAATTTTCGATAGATAATTTAATAATAAAGTTTTATCAATCTAGGTGGATTTGCATCTATCCAGTTTACGTCAATAGTAAAAGGACTTTAGCAGAAGGACGTAAATTGTCAAAGGAAAGATGCGTAGAAAATCCTACACATCAAGAGATTCGAGATGTACTTCTTAGCATAGGATTGAAAGTTGGTGTTGAAAATAAGCTTTATCCCAGAGAACCCAGTAAAGAACTATTGTATCGTGGGCGAATCCGTGTTCAATTAAAAAATGATGATGGTACTCCATATAACTCAGATTATCCAACAAGAGATTCTTTGTTAAATTTTATAGGAGTTAGTATTCCTAAGTTAAAGACACGTCAAGGCAAACAATCGTCTGGAGAGCAATCCGCACAAAATTCATCAGCAAATTTACCAAAAAAAGGAAAGGGCAAGGGTCGAAGATGAAATTTTGAAGAGCTATTTGATGCAAATTTTGGAAAATTTATTATGAGATTTAAATGGCTTCATATTGTTTAATAATATTAATTACTCCTTTAATTATACAATTTTTCTCAACATATTAAAGAATTCTATTATCAAACTACGATTGTGTAGTTAATTTTATAAATTAATTGCACTAATACAAAATCTATTAATTTATAAAATATAATTATTAATTACTAATGAGATATCATGTTTTACTATTGCTTAAATTAGTTTAGATATATGAAATAAAATAATATTTTTTATAAGTTCTTTTTACCCAACTTATTAACAACTGCATTAGACTATGTAAGATGAGAATAATCAATGGATTGTTATAGATTATTTAAATAAATTAAGTTTTAGAATTTTATCAAAAAATCAGATTTAATGAAATGATTATGTACTATAGATGTAAAGATGTTGAGCATTAATTTTTACTTATATAAAATATTTAATGTACTTGAATTATATTCATTTTCATATAAAATGGATATATTAAAATATTTATACTATACATTATATTTAATTCTTAACTATTATGTACAGAATTATTAACAATTAATTATTAATTCTATGTTTTTGTTATAGAGTTTCTTTTTTTATTTCTTTATGTGATTTAATTTTATTTCTAAGATCTTTTTCTACTCTCAATTTTTCTTTAATTAATTTCTCTGTTTTAGTTTTTTTGTTGTTTATATTTTCATTTGTTGGTCTTTGTATATTAACGTTTTCACTTGGCAGTTGTTCTATTATTAATGCTTGAGTTGTACTATTGTCTATATTAGAAATTTGTGACAAAGACTGTTTATCTGTATGTGCTATTTCATCTTCCAACTGTTTTTTCATTGTCTCAAATTTGTGACCATCAATGGCGGATTTGAAATTATTGTTTACGTCTCTGTTTATTTTTATAGGTAATTCTTTGGTTTTGGTAGATTTTTTGCAGATTTTCTTGAGTGAAGTATATAGCGATGAACCAGAATTTTCGTCATTTGTTAATTCCATATTATGTTCAACAAAAGGTCCAGGAGAATCATCAATTTGTGTGAATGTTTCAAAAGCGGTTACTGGAGCTGCTATAGTATTGCAATTACTATAATAAGGTAACCCCAAAGATGCCCCAACAACATATGTTGTTGGTACCTGGGGAACAAAGCCATTACATGGAGAAATATTTCCTAATATAGGACCATGGATCATTGGCATTGTTGCTGGCATTTGTTGAATATAAGACACATGTGCTGTAGCAGGAATACTCACTGAGGGACTTAGTAGGTTAATTAGCGGCGAACCAGCAGTCGGATAATGGTAATTGAAAGGTGGAACTTGTGTGCCAACGATTGGATTAATAGTATTGGCAATTGGATTTGATATTGATATTTTGGAAGTACCAATTTTAACGTTGTGTTCTTGAGACTTTTTACAAGTACTCTATAAATAAAAACATTGCAAAATTTGTATAATTACCTAAATTTCTAAATTAAAAATAACTTACGGCAACACGATTGGAATTTTCATTTAATCGTTGTAAGAAAGTATAAAGTAGATTTACAGGTGCACTGACCAAATTACTAATTCCTGGAGTTTGGCTTACAGTTTCAATAGCATGTGGTATACCAAACATAGGTCTACTGAGCTGTTCACCCAAAATTTGAAAAAAATTTGGAGTATTAGTCTGTTCTGTCAGTAGAATAAAATTAATATCATCAATTATTAGTGCGTTATCATCATTCTTTGGTTTTTCAAGTATTGGTCCATAATTACCAGATGCAGATGTAGAAACACAATTAACAATTGGTGGAGCTACTATCGCTTCTTTCGGTTGAGTAATAATTCTCGGTGCGCCAACACATTCACTCTTTCGATTCGATACAAAATATTGAGATTTTGAATTTGAATCAAAGTTTTTGGATCGAGGACTAGATAAGACGTGTTGACTTTCAGAATTTGCTTCAATATATTGAGGTTGAGAACTCGAGACAATATGCTGAGCCCGTGGAGTTGAAACGATTTCTACAGGTCGAGGTGTATATGCACTTTCTTGTAAAGAATTTAAAACAAATAAAGAAGGTTGTTCGACACAATCATTACTTTGACTTTGGACAGTATCGGGGGGATATGTAAAAGTATATGGCGGTGCCTGGAATATAGAACCTGTTATGGGCCCATCTTCCATGAAGTATTTAGCAACTTGATCTATATCATCTAAGAAGATAATAAATATTAAATTCGTTTAAGATAATAAATATAATTATGCGATTACCTATAAAATATTTTTTAACTTACTATTTCCGAATTCATGCTTTGTCCCAAGTAAACATCGTGTGGATCTTTTATCGTTACTCAAGTCACAAGATACCACATCTAATCCATACTCTGTTGCTTCGCGTTTCATACGTAGTACGCAGTCCGCCCCTAATAAAGTTAATAAAATCTTTAGTTTACAATCAGATTAAACAGTTTTATTTAGTAAATAAGTTAATTTAAAGAAAATAAAGTATTGAAAATGAGAATTTAAAAATTTTAAGACCTTGAATATTACAATTTAAATCTAAGCAAATATTAAATACAATTATCAATATAAATTTATAATAGCTTAATAATGAGAAAGTGATTATGAAAAATTTAAAGAAAATATGATCATAAATATCGATTTGAATTTTAACCCCTAAAGTTTTATACAACTAATTTTCTTTTTGTTATCTTTAATGTCAAAATCATAAATAACTATTTGTCCCTGCTATTATTTTCATGCGACGGTTTCGTGAAATTGTGTTACGATACCTTCCTTTATACTGTCTTCAATATTGCATTCGCATCGATTGTTTACAAAATTTGCAATTCCATTGCAGCTCTTACATAGATTTATGCATGTTTGGGCATCTGTAGAGTTCAGTACATCTGCTTGAGCTGTGGAAATAAAAGTGTGATTTCGTATATATTTTGCATTAAGGTTTCCGCAAATTCTCGAAACTATGAAATTTATTAAAAATTAATAAATATAAAAAATGAAAACATACCAACCGATAAGATGAGTGTAAAAATTGAAACAACTAATAAATTAAAGATCATGTTGATTTGTATTTTAAAGCAACAATTAATAATTGAGAGTGGTATTTTAAAAAAAATTTTATGCCACAAACTCCAATATTTAAAGTGCGACAGTTACCGATGGACATTCGAGATTTATAATTTCTTTCGGTCAAGAATCTGCATTCATCATCGTTTTGTTGCTTTCCATTCAGCATTATTCATCACTTTGGATGGTAAACAATGGTTTGTTTGGATTGTGAAGTAACCGAGGCATTATCAAATTTCTTACAGATTTCCATCATCGTATGTGAACTTGATAATTATTCTTATCGTTTAGAGTATGCCATAAACAGTATTTACTAGAAATTTTTAAGTATTTATCATTAATTACTTATAATTTACACATCCATTTTATAAAATTTAATAGCACGAGCATTATCATAATTACAAATAAATGAAGAATTACAAAAAAAAAAAAAAAAAAATTATGTATAAAACTAGTGTATATGTAGTAAGATTCAAATTATTTAAATTAAATATCATAATACGTAATTGACTTAGAGATATTTGAAAAAGTATTTAAAGCATATAACAAATGTAGGTGAAATTAGCGATATATTTATGTATGCAAATTTCGCAAAAGAAAAACAATCAGATTGCAAATTTCATCATTCGAATGTTTTATGAATAATAAATTCGTTTGCGATTATTAGTCATTTAATGTAAATTGTTTATTGCAATGTAAATTTTTCTTTACTTTCGTTATTTTACATCACTAAAATCATTTCTAATACGTTGAATATTATTTTTACTATAAAATTAATTATGTATTACGAATACGGATTAAAAATTTGTTAAAATACTTAAAAATATTTAAAAAATTAAATTTTATTTATATGAAACTTATTAAAAATGAAAAATCTTTATAATAAATTTCAATGTAACAATTATATGAATATTCTAGTGTATCAGCAAAATACGCAATAATGCACATATAAATATGTAAAAACCAAAATATTTAAGAAAATATAAAATTTATCCTCTAAATTTTAATTACAAATTACATATCACATTATTAGTTTAGTAAACAAAATTTTTAACATCATACAATGAGAAAAAACTTATAATAAACTCACCTTATTAACGTTATTTAAAAATTAGCCATACAAATTACATGATCATTATTAATTTTTACATAAAAAAAGGCATTAATGAAACTGCGACTTTGCAACTATTTGATCAAAACACCGTCATTTAAAATAAATTAAAATAAATGGACAAAAAAAAAATGTAAAAAATTACCTTCGCCGTAACAATGCTTTAACGCATTGCCGTGACCAGGATTCGAACCTGGGTTACTACGGCCACAACGTAGGGTCCTAACCACTAGACGATCACGGCTATTGAAGGTTGATGGTGTTTTATTACCAATCGCTTTATAAATCCAGCATTTTCTTAAATTATTGAACAAAAGAGGCATTATTCATTTGAAGGTTAAGCGTTAATTGAAAGCAAATTTTTTGAAAATTGAAGCAGACAAATTTTGAATTTGAGCTTTCATTTGTCCGTTACGGGAGTTTTGTGAATCTCAAATAATGGCGACTAATGGAGGTTGAGATTAGTCGTATGTACCAAGTAAAACAGTACTAAGATCAGATAATGTTTAATCGTGCTTTTTTCGAATAGCTTATTCATATCAAATGTTCATTATTAATTAATATAATAATTACTTATACTTAAATAAATATAAATTATTTAATTGTATTAAAATATAAACATTTTGCCTTATCATAGAATTGAGAAAGATAGTTTTTAATTTTAGTAGAAAATAATAATTATTTTACGCAGTCTAAAAATAAAAAATATTGCAAAATGATTTTGTACTTATTGCTTTGAACAAAAATTAGGTTATTGACAAGACATGTTACCGACTGAGCGACTTGTAAAGAGGTTCTACAGATTGCCACATAAATCGTATTATTAATTATTTTGATCTTACTAGGCGTCGATTTGTACTTTGGGCTTGTACTTTTCTGAAAATAATATTTAGGGAACAATGTAAGGGAATTTTTATGCAACACTTTAAAGTTTTATCGACATTAATGTTAATCCTGATTTTTAAGCGTCAAAAGTTTCAAATTGAATTTTTATTAAAAGTTTTAGGAAGCTATTAATATTGCTATCTAGAGTTATTCAAAACTTTAGATGACCCATAAGAAACATTAACGTCACAGTGAACTTTACAATATGTAGATTATCTTTATTTTTTACATTAGTGATATTTTTTAATATCACAGGATAAAGCTGTAAAATTAAAGTACAAATATTACTATTTTTATTAAGATTTGATTTCTTAAAGAGAATTTCATTAATATTTACCATCAAGATAAAGGGGCATGGATATTTCGCATTGTATTGATTGGCTAATATTGCTTACAATTTATGTTTTAAAATAATAAACTTCACGTTGTCAGATTTTACGCATAGACAGCATTTACAATCAATATAAACTATGAATATATGATATTGGCAATATATAAATATTGTCTATGTGATTTTTATAACATTCATATTAGCGTTACTTGTAATATTGGCTTCATAGTGAACTAAATAAATATAAAATAATGGAAATATTTGTACTATATGCTATATAAAGAGATATTCGGATCTTATAATGTGACAAGTAGTAAGTCTTCTTGTGAAAAATCAATAAAAGATATGCAAAATATGTTTGAAATATACAAAATATAACGTAGAAAATTTTATTGTAAACTCGAGAAAATTCAACACAGACGTAAATGATATCTCTAATTATTAACATATTCTACTCAAATTTGGAGCTAATTTACTAGTAGAAAAGATGAGTAGTAATTATAATTTTATGATTTATGTTGAATCTAATTATGTTTAAAATATTGGGCATTTATAATACACAAATTTATATTTGTGACAAGTTTCTTATTAAATGTAAAGTTCAAAATTGTTCACTGCAAGATAATAAAAGCCTGAAGATTATTAAGAAATTATAAAATCGTTAAATGCAGTGAGTAATCGGCTAAAAATAAAAACTAATTTCAAGTTTCACTATTAATATCTATTCCGCTATTGAATTTAATGAATATTCATTATGGCATATATCAATCAGTCATGCAACCTTTATTATGAAAAAGAATCTTCTTAGCTCGAATTGGACAACTAAGGCAACATGAGTACAAAAAGCATCGCGCCCGCGGCAGCACACATTCAATGACAAGTGCGAGCCAGTAATTCCATATAACAATTGTGACAATCTCTCATAGCTGTGTTTTTTCCATCACTTCACCATTCAAAATTCCTAGGTTTGTTTAATTCATTATTCGTCACTATCTGTAGGTTCGTTGTTACTGTCACTACCGTTGCCATTGCAACTACCACCATTGGCGTTGCCTCTTCTGTCACTACTGCCTCAGAAGCTGTCGCCAAAAGGATTCTGGACATCTATGGAATTCGTAAGGCAGAGTGTAATAATTGCGTTATCGAAAGTAGTGCGAAGACTACCACTGTTACTTCCTCGGGGTAGCTGGACGCCGGATACCGACGGGCTGCCAGCGACCGCCGTTGCTACCGCGGCGTCGCGGTTTTGTCGCGGCGACCTCTTCCCTCATCCCCAGGATGACGTTTCTATCTTTCATTTATCAAGAATGGATCTTTAAGAGGGTGTGGGATAGAGGTGGACATGGAAGGATGGGGATGATGGTTTTACCTAGATGGTTGGAGCACGTTGTACGATGGAAGGTCAACGAGCTTGGCTTGTTATTGCATCCTAGTTCGAGGATTGGAATCTTTGAGTATATAAGTATTAATCTCTGTCCTAATATTAGTCGATTTTTTGATTTTTTAAAATAAATAAGATATGATACCGAAATACATTGCTTCGTACAAATCTTATCTTACAAATATGCATTTTATTATCATTTCTCTTATTTTTATTTATTAATTTTTATTTGTTAAGCTGTAATAAGATATTTGTTCTCACTGTGTTCTGGTTAGTGACAATAACATTGTCTTTAACTAATTTTTTGCTATATAAGTTAACTAGTCGTTGCCGTCTTTGGTATTCTGTCAGATATTTTTCTGGACAATCAATATTCAATTATAATTAAAGTAATTGTAGAACTAGAATATTTCATCAAATATTATTAAATTCACATGTTTTAAGGTATTACTATTGAAAAGAAATGTAATATATAATGAATAAAAAACAAATGCATATAGTGTAACTGTAAGAAGTGTCTTAAAGCAATTTTTAAAATCATCGGTCATTGAACACGAATTTTCTGTTATAATCTTTAGCCCAGTATATATATATATTTTTTTTTATCTCTTTAACCAATCCTACAATATTTCAATGACATATTTTTCGTGCAACGAAATCTATAAACCTTGAATTATAATTGGGCATTGACGACGATCATTGGCCGATGACTTAGTAGTTAACGATCGTTCACATAGATGTATTAGCCTTTTCGTTATATTTGTAATTAAAATTTGTGTACACCTGAACTACAAAATTACTCAACCATTTTTCTAAAAATAAAAATATAAATGTAATTTAGAAAAGCCCTCTCTAATAATTGTTATTTCAAATATTGGTAAACGAAGAACTGTTAATCCAAACATAAGAGCTCAAAAATATCAGCAGCGCACAAAGTGCGAGCGTCGTCTCGCTGTTCGGAATTTCTAAATGGAAAAAGAAAGGGGCACCAGCGCCAGGCAAAATGAACGTAGTGGGAGCACGAGGGTCCGGCCCTGGCGCGTTTCAAAGCTCCTCCATACAGCTGATCGCCTGATTCTCAGAGTCTCCGGGAGAGCCTACCCCAACGACATCGGCGTAAGAGCCCCGACGCCTTTTCCGCGCTCTCCTCCCGCCTTTGCGAGAGACGCCCCCCACCCACCTGCCTGTGTCCCATTCGTGACTCTTACTTCATGCAGACGTAACCGACTTGTCTCGATTACATTCGCTACGTTGGAGGTGCGTCAGGTATTCCCCGTCACCGGGTCCACTTTACCCGGCATATGCACTCAACCGCTACGTATATTCTATTTTACGTTCATTCGTTATGATGAAAGAAAGCTCTTCACTGGTTCTCGTTTAAAAATATTGAAATTTTATTTAATATCTGTAATAAAAATGTTTTGACATGAATTTGCCGGAAATTTAATGGTATTTTAATTAAACCACTTCTTAATATCTCTAATTTTGCATGTTTTTGTTAAACAAGTTATATTACAGATACGGAATGAGATAAAATTGCTGAACAATAGTTATGCTA